ACAGAATATCTTTTATCATGCTCTGTTCCATCCATCAACAATCCGATTGTAAAGCTTTTAAAAGAATATTTTAATTCCCTTGAAGTTTTTGTACTTTGAGGATAGTTTTGGATCCACAAGGCCTATTGCTTTCCTTCATAAATTTCAAACCATGTACCGAATCTCGGCTTTGAAACGTGTTACTCTCTGTATCAACCCATCAACCCTGATTAACTCTTGATGGTGAAAATACTTGATTACTCCTCACAATACTATTGGCATCATAATTGATGGACACTCTCAGAAATTTTTGTGAAAAACAGAAACTCAAACTTTTGTTTTGACATCCGTTTTTAAATTCCTGTGGCTTAAGTATTTATTTAGAATTGCTCAGTGATTGTGTTCCATCTCCAGGAGGAGAATGCCAATGACAGATTCTCTAACACTTCTTGTTATGACACTTTCCATGTTTTCTCAGCTACTTTCTAACCAGATTAATGTCCCAAAGCAGGGCTCTTTCTGCCTAGTGATGCACTGCCGTTAGAGCCTACATACCACGGGTTGAAGACCTGTCCGCTGACCACAGTCTTTATTAAGAAACTGTTTTATTGTTACTCAATCACCTTTCATCCATAGATTTTTCATTCATAGATTTTTAAAAATTCTATTTTTTCCTTTTTTACTAATTCTGAAGTGATGCTCTGTTTCTATTCCTTTAGTGGTGACCCTAGACATCTTATCAGGCCTACTTAATTTCCAAACTCTAAAGTGAATGACTGTCTTTGCCTTCCTTCAGAAAATTATGTAATCCGAATGTGCTTTAACTTGGTCACCAGTCTGCCTATCTATGTGCTACTATTGTTCAATATTTAGACCTACAAATTATACAGGAAGCTTAGTGTTTTATTTGGTGTTTTATTTAGTGTTTTTATAAACAGTCAACATTTATATTTGGGAGAGGAGGTGTTGCTGTTTTTATTTTGCCAAATAGATGTTAAGAGACACACACTACTTGCTTTCGTCAGTGTTTTGTTTACTTATTTATGTATATATGTCTTTGCTTTTCAACTTATTTTTTATTGTGGTAAAATACACGTAACAGAAATTTACCATCTTAATGATTTTTTAAGTATTTATGTACTTTTTTTTTTTTAGGTTTTAATATAAGCTCCTTTTAATGTTTATTTATTTTTGAGAGAGAGAGAGAGAGAGAGAAAGCGAGCGTGTGCGCACGGGCGCGCTAGAGAGCATGGGCGGGGAGGGGCAGAGAGAGAGGGAGACACAGAATCTGAAGCAGCCTCCAGGCTCTGAGCTGTCAGCTCAGAGCCCAATGCAGGGCTCGAATCCACAAGCCATGAGATCATGACCTGAGCCCAAGTCGGATGCTTAACCAACTGAGCCACCCAGGTGCCCCTTTACTTTTTTCTGAGAGAGAGAAAGATGGAGTGGGTTGGAGGGACAGAGAGAGAGACAGAGGGAGAAAGAGAATCCCAAGCAGGCCATGCACTATCAGTGCAGAGCCAGTCACTGGGCTTGATCTCACCAACTGTGAAATCATGACCCAAAGCCAAAATCAAGAGTTAGAGGCTTAACTGACTGAGCCACCCAGATGCCTTTTAATGGGTTTTAAATGTACATTTCAGTGGGCTTAAGTACATTTGTATTGTCAAGCAACCATCACCATTATCCATCCGTCTCTAGAATTCTTTTCTTTTTGCAAAGCTAAAATTCTATATCCACTAACCAGTAAGTCCCCATTCCCTCCTTCCCCACAGCCCCTGGCAACCACCATTCTGTTTTCTGTATTTAGGATTTTGACTATTCTAAGGACATCATATAAGTGGAATCATACAGCATTTGTCTTTTGGGGATTGGTTTGTTTAGCACAGTGTCCTCAAGGTCCATCCATTTTGTAACATATTGCAAAATTCCATTCTTTTTTAGGGGCACCTGGGTGGCTTTCAAGGTTTGGTGATTATGAATACAGTCTTTGTGTGAACATACGCACTCGTTTCTCTTAGGTGTATACCCAGGAGTAGAATGACTGAATGGGTATATTTTAACTTTATTTAAAAGTGCCAAATAATTTTCCAAAGTTGTACCATTTTCCACACCCATGCTAGGTACTTTTTAGTTTCTTTTTAATACTGTTTTTTAGTTTTAAAATACACTAAACATAAGTATTTCATAGTCTACGCCTGATATTCCTAATATATGCTGTCTCTGCAGGTCTGATTCTGCAGTTTGTAGTTTCTTCTAATTCTCATGGTAGTTTATATCCCTGTGTATTTTGTGATTTTTGATTGTGAGTTCATCTTCCTTGGAACTTCGTCTGGGGGAGTATTTGAAGTTTGGCTTTCAAGTACATTCCTCTAAAAAAGGAGGATAAATATACTTATTTGCCTCTGCCAGTGGATACTAAATTCTCAGCTTGGAATCTTTTAGGGCCTCCTAAAATTTCTGGCCCTAAATCCAAGTAAAGTGAGGCTATGGTTAGGAACTCTCAAGAAAATATGTTTTCTTTTTTTTCCTTTCCACACAGAGCCAAAGCTAAGCCAGGCACGTGTGTCCACCACCTCCCTTTGTGGGGGTGGAGTGTTTTCTCATTCCCTCAGTAAAGATGTCACTTTTCAGGGGTCTCTGATCTGACTTCCTGTCTCAAACTTTGTGCCCTGTCCCTCTCACTTGTGGCCCTTTAAAACCCAAGCCCTGTGCCACCACTGAATCGGGGTTTGTTCCAACACAGACTCCAGCTTCAGAATCCACTTCCTTGGCTCAATTCAAGCTTTCTATAATTTCTGGGCATTTGAGGATTTTTCCTTATTTTTGTGCCAGCTCTGCCATCATTCAAACAGATGTTTTTCAGACTGGCAAAAGATTGATAATTGAAGTTGAGTGATAAACATGTGGAGATTCATTATACCATTCTCTACAAAGCATGTTTGAAATTTCACATAATAAAAAGTCTTTTTTTAAAAAGGAATTCTCCATAGAGAGTCATAGTGAGATATTTAGAGGTAAAATATTAGGATGGCTGTAGTTTACTTTAAAATACTTTAGAAGGACAGGGTGTCTGGGTGGCTCAGTCAGTTGAGCGTCTGACTCTTGATTTCAGCTCAGGTTATGATCCCAGGGTTGTAGGACTAAGTCCTGCATCGGGCTCCACACTGAGCATGGAGCCTGCTTGGGATTCTCTCTCTCTTCCCCCCTCTGCTCCACTCCCTCACACTATCTCTTAAAAAAATAAAATAAAATAAATAAAAAACAAAAAACAAAAAACAAACCACAAAACAAAAACAAAAAAACAACTTCTGAAGGAAAGAGATAAAGCAAAATGGAAAAATGTTAATAATTATAAAATCTGGGTGACAGGGCATATGGGTGTTCATCATACTATTTTGTGTGCTTTTAAGTATGCTTGGAAATTTTTATAATACAAAATCAAAGTATGATAAAAGGATTCTTAGGCATTCTGTACTGGGTCTCTGGACATCTAGTCTACCATATTATTAGAAACAAATATGACATCATATTGAATGATTGAACTTACAAAGAAAGAATCCACCAATGACCCGGCCAAATTGTTGAACAACCGAAGAAAAGGAAGAAATATATGTACAACATTGCAAAGCTGTGCAGATCCAGATATGAACAAACTTGTGTGAATGGACAATTAGGGAAGTGGGAAGGTGAGCATACTGGCAGAACACCAAGTCAAGTCGGGAGGGACCTGCCAAAGTGTCCTGTCATTGAGCTTAGTTTTCATTGCATGACTCAGTTATTTGCTGGTTGGTAGCCCCATCCGTGTAATAGCAGGATCTAGCTTCCTCCTCTCATAGTCCAGCCTCCCTAGTTTGGGGGAAGGGGGACTGTCTCCCAGCTCCAGCCCAACTCTCACCTGCTCTCTAAGTGCCTCCAGTCTAGCCCCTTTTGCTGCCTTGCAAGATGCCTGTGAGTCATCATGTCCATTCCAGAACTTCCAGGCCTTGCCTGGAGCCCCACTAGGACAATCCACTACTACATAACCATCTGACAGGAGTAAGTGGGCATTCAGCAGAATAAATAGCTCAGGGTGGCTTTGGCAATTCTGGTCAAGACCCTTTGACCAGTGGGAAGTGGGGATAGAGGCCCCTCCTCCTTTCGTTTTCCACTTCTATGGAGAACTATTTGAATAAGAACACATCCACACTGTCAAGAAAGAGCCTGAATTTTCAGGGACAGAGCAGCCTAGACCCATATGTTGAAAAGAAACATTTCCTTGAATTAATAGTAATCTGCAAAGATAACATCTCATTATAGAGAAGATATTTATATTGTTATGCAAAACACCGAGACACTGAGCCATGGGCTCCTTAATTGCTCCATTTAAGAATTAAGTCTTTGGTTCATCTTTGCAAGAACAAGGCATCCATTGATCCAGAGGAAAGAGATATTTGCTCCAGTTCACACATCTTACCATATAGAGAGACAGTGGAAGGTTTTCATTTATAGTTCTCCCCACTCAAGACGTTAGCCAATTACTGGACAGCTTTCAACTTCAAAGTGTCTGGGTTTCCTTTCCCATTAATCAGAGGCTCTGCAGGAGAAATCTTCCAAGGTGAGGCCTAGATCTAACTCCCCTTTCATGGCAAAACCTCACAGGGCATGAACTGGTTCTTTTTTGTGCTCTGTTGTGATGAAATTTTACATCATTGTACTGTTGCAGAATAAATATAATCTTAAATTATGTTTTTCGAATTCATATGTCAGTCAACAAATCTTTGATGAGCACCTATCGCCAGGTAAATGTGCTGGTGTTGGAAACACAGCAGCAAAGAAAATAAATGAAATTCTCACAAAGTTAGCACCCTATATAGTTGACTTCATGTACTTTTTTAGTGTTTATTTATTTGAGAGAGAGAGAGAACATGAGTGGGGGACAGGCAGACAGAGGGAGAGAGAGACTCCCAAGCAGACTCCATACTGTCAGTGCAGAGCCCAACATGGGCTTCAAACCCACGAACTGTGAGGTCATGACCCGAGCCGAAATCAAGAGTCAGGCGCTTAAGCGACTGAGCCACCCAGGCGCCCCTTACTTCAGGCACTTTTGCCAATTTCCTAACTCTCAGAAGTTGGACTGACACATGCTGTAATGTTTTTGAGCAAGGTTTGGAGGGGGAAATGTGTAGGGCATGCACAAGAGGCACAGAGAGCGAGGAGTCCCTGGATGCACAGCGGTGGCAACATTGCTACAGTTGGGGCTACCCATGGGTGAGCAGAGGACAGGAGGTCAGAATGGTAGGCACGTGCTCATGGAGGGCCTTAAATGCCAAGATAAAAGCTTGAACTTTATTAGACATAGTGACACTAACAGTTAGTGCTTATTGGATTCTTAGCCTATGCGCTAAGCAGTATACACGAACTGCCTCATTTTAGTTCTCTCAACAACTCTCCAGGTACTATTATTATCTCCAGATTACAGATGAAAAACTGAGTCACAGAGGTAAAGAAACTTCCCTGGGTCCCACAGTTGCGTGAAAACATTTTTACATGGAGTTGTGTCCTAGAAATCTGGCAGCCTTGAGTCAGATGAATTGCAGAGAGGAGAGACCCCAAATAGTTATTGTAAGAGAATCACCAGAGAATGGTACCAAAAGCCTGAAGTAGAACGGTAGCAGGGGGAATGGGAAGAAAGGAATGAATGCAAATACTGAGTGGATGTGCAGGGCGGTGGCAGAGAAGAAGATTTCACAGATGCCTCCTAGCTACTGAGATTAGATGTCCTGGAGGTCTGTTATTAGAAGAGGCTGAGCCAGGGAGAGACAGATTTGGTGTAGAGGATGTTGAGCTCAGTTTTGGGGTACAGTGAATGTCTAAGGACCCCCAGGAAGGTTACCTCACAAGCACTGAAAATTAGCAATTTGATCTGGGAAAAAATAAAGAGTTGGTGTTACAAATCCGTAAAGGCGTTGCACCAAGGTATTAGTCGCAACAGTGGGAGTAAAGGTAGAATAAAGATAGATGATGGATGATTAGATAGATAGATAGATAAATAGATAGATGAAGGAAGGAAGGAAGGAAGGAAGGAAGGAAGGAAGGAAGGAAGGAAGGAAGGAGTAGACAATGGTGCCTAGTGAACACCCACAGTTAGGAGAAGAAAGGGGAGCCCATGGAGGAACAGATCAGAGGCGGCAGATCCAGACAGGTACCTTGTTAGGAAAATGAAGAGATGAGAGTTTCCAAAAGTCAAATGCTGAAAAGCCCACAGCCAATTATAACTAAAAAAGACAGGAATTTGGAAATAAGGAATCCTGATGATCATTTCAGAGAATGATCAGAGTTTAAGAAACCCTTAAACTCTGCACATGGGGGAACAAATGGGTACATTACCAGAGGCCAAATTGGCAATATGGATCAGAAGAGTTAATACCACATATCTGGAAATTATACTTCTAGAAATTTATATAGAAAAGGAATACTCCTAGAGATGCAATAAGATACAGCTATGAGGCTGTTGGTCACTATTTTGTTTAAAATCCTGAAAATTTGTCAACAGCACAAACAATGGGGAATATTTAATGGGTACAAAGAGGATTGTAGTTGGTTATAAAGAAGCAGGTTACAACACTGCGTATGTTTCTCCCACCCCCATTCCCCACCTTTTAAAGGAAGGCAATATATAGAGAAATATGGAAGAATATACTGCAAGAATTTCATGATGGTTTTTTCTAGGTGGTAGGATATGATAATTATAAGATCTCTGTTTTCCCTTTCTGCACACCCATTTACCCTCCCTCCCTCCTTTGGATTACCTATATCTACTATAACAACTCTGTCCAATAGAAATATAATGGGAGCCACATATGTAATTTTAAACATCCTAGTAACTACATTTAAAAAGTAAAAAGAAACAGATAAAATAATAATATATTTTCTTTAACCCCAATGTGTCAGTGTCATCATTATAACATGAAACCAACACAGAAAATATTAATGATATCTTAGATTTTTCAAAACACTCAGCCTTCCAAACCTGGTATGTATTTTACATTTACAGAATATTTCAATTTGGACCATCCACATTTTAAGCACCCGATGGCCACATGGCTTCCGTATTAGATAGCAAAGCTGTATAAAATTAACAGCTAACGTTTATCAAGTGCTTACTATGTGCTAGGAACACTGATGTAAGCCCATTGGGTGGGGATTATAACTCGTTCAACAACACAAAAACTCCTTAAGGTTGTTAGGATTGTTATTGCCTCCGTAAGCATATGTTGCTATTGTCATAACACCGTGGTAAAAGTTTGGGAGCTTTGCACGCCATTTCCCTAATGGGATGGGGGTGGAAGCCAGGTTGCAAAGGCTTATTGAGTCGAAGGGAACTGAGGCAGATGCAGAGAGACTAAAACTTACTCAAAAAGTTTGGTGGTGAAGAAAAGTTAGCAGAAACTAGAGGACGGAAGGCTTTTTGTGGGACAGGGAGACCCAAAGGCAAACTAAGCTAAAGAGGAGGGAGGAGGATGAAAGGTAAAAGAGAAATGGCTGGGGATGTTGTTAGACCAAGTACTCCACAAGAGTGAGGGCTCTGTTGGATAAACACTGCCTGGCCTGTGCTGGGGGGGGGGGGGGGCTGTGATGGACACCATCACTTCCCAGCTGAGGGTGGAGGTGGGAGTGTAGCCTGGGAGGTGGGGGGGGGGCAGATCCTGGTAACTCCCTCCTGCAGGTGAATGCCAGGACAGAGTGGAGGCGGTGCTTCCCTGGGGGGAGTTGAACTGAGTGGTGAAGAATGAAAGTTACCCAGCAAAGCAGCAAAAAATGGACGGGATATAGACTTGAAAAATACTTGACTATAAGACCAGGTGACTGGATGAAAAGAAAGATGAGAGAGTGAGGATCTGAGTTCCCAAGCTTCCGGCATGGCCAAGGGCAGAGATAGTAACATCTACTGAGTGGCTGTCTGGAGTCACACATTGGTCCTGTGCACCACATACTAATCTCATTCATCCTCACAGAGGTCCCATATAGTGCTTCCCATTCTGCAGATGTGCAAACCGAAGCAAGATTATTGGCCCCAGTTCTCACCATCAGTAAGTGGAAAAGTCAGAATCGGAGCCCAGGTTGTTCCAGAGATGGAAGGAAGGAGGAGACAAATTGATGAGGGCCCAGAGGTAGGATGGGTGGTCCAAGGGGCTGGGCAGGCAGGTGTGGAATGAAAGGTAAGCAGACATATGGGATGGTAGGGCCCTCTGGCCTGAGGAAGGCACCGATCAGTCTTTGGACAGAACTCTGCAACTGGGGAGGGACGACAGGCAGGTGGAAGGGAAGGGCTGGGGAACAGAGGTGGGAGAGGGGGTAGGAGGTTTGGTTTAAGGTGGACTGCTGTCCACTGGTGGAGAGAGGAGGCATTTATGTGGGAGAACTTGGCAGAGACTGGGCAGGTGAGAAGGCACAGCAAGAGACAGGGGCCAGGCGGAGAGCATTGTTACTCCAGAACACAGAGGCAGAACACAGAGGCAAGCTTAGAGACCCCCTGAGGGTGACAAGTTCTTCTCTTCACCTACTGCAGAAAAAGCGACAGTAGAGGAAGAGGCCCTAAGAGGAGCAGAAATAGAGGAAACCAGGTTAGGGATAAATATCCACAAAGGTAGGGGAAGGATGGAGGGAAATTAGAGAATTACCAGAGAGGAAAGCCAGAGAAAGGAGGCTTGGAACAGGGAAACGGGAGGGAAGGTGAAGATAGAACTGCCATCATCCAGCACACCCAGCCCACCAACAACCCATCCCTAACCCAGAGAACGCCTGTCTTGGGAGTTAGCTGCAGCAGCAGGGTGGGGACGGAATGGGAGTGAAACCCGAGCCAGATCACTGACCTGTCCCAGCTCAATGGAGACTGCGACCAGACTCAAGTCACTGGTCCTGTGCAGTCTGTTTCTTCATCCGAAATATGGGGTTCATGACAGACAGCTAGATGTCAAAGGACTTCGCAAGCACCAGGTCCACAAGGGAAGGTGTTATTATAAGGCCTATCAAGTTAATAACAACAGGTATCCTCAGAACCATGCAGATGACAATAGATGTGGCCAGTGTAGATGCCAAGTCTAGAAATGAATGGCCCGGTAGATTCCAAGCTCCTCTACCTGCCCAGTGTAGCGAGTTCGCGGCCAATATCCAGCCTCACGTTGGGGTAGGAGGCGAGGGCCTGCGGTTAGACAGATGGGGTTCGTCTCTGGCCAGGGGCGCAAGGCCCGCAGCAGGGTTAAACTTGCTCCGGCTCCTGTCTTCTCCGTGGCAGCCCCCTGTCGCCGCAGAGCACAGGCCCAGGCAATGCTTATCCAACTGAACCCGCGTCCCCGCGGGGATCTTGCTCCAACAAAATACCCAGTCATCTCCTTCTATCTAAAGCGAAAATCCCTTCGTTCCGTGCCCTTGCCCAGCTCCGCACACTTGCCCCCTTAGTGGTGTGGCCTGCTCAGGTCGCCGCTCGGCCCGGCTGAGCTTCCCCTTTTTCAGGACTGAAGCTGGGGCAAAGGAGGAGGGGGAAGAAATAAATGAAAAGTCGGGGTGGAGGGTGGAGCAGCGAGACAGGGAGGGGGATAGACAGCCTGAGACATAAACGGGAGAGAGACAGAGAGACCTGTACAGAGCCAAAAAGATCCGGAGAGGTCGCAAAAGAGGCACTGGCGCTCGCCACGGATTCGTTAAGGATTCCTTCCGCAGGCATTTCTGATGAGGCTCCGCCGCGCTCGGCCCGGGGCTGCCCGGGACGCGAAGGGCTGCAGGGTGCGGTCGCCTCGCCTCACCTCCCCCCTCTCGCCGCCCCCTCCCCACCTCGCCCAAGGGGGCCGGAACGGCGTCGGCGCGCGGGGGCTTTTCGGCGCAGTCGACTGGAAAATAGACTTTAACCCGCTTTGTGGCGACAGGGGCGCCCGAAGCGCTCTCCCGGACCGGGGCTCCCGGCGCTCAGGCGGGCCACTCCCAAGACCCGGCCTGGAGTCCCTGCAGAGTCACGCGGCACGCGGAACCCCTGGCCTCGGGGCGCCGGCAAGGCCTAGGCCGGATCTGCGCACCCGGCCACAGCCGGGCCGCCCCGACAGACCCCGGCGACGGCGAGGAAGCGAAACGCGCTGCGGTCCCCTCCTTGCAGTGCTCTGGCAGGGTCCGGGTCCCAGCCTCCCCACCACCGCCCAGCGCCCTCCTAGGCCTCCGTGCGGTGTTTCCTGCGGCCTGGAAGGCCCGGGTGAAAAAGTTTGCTGAGTACTGGTTCTCTTCACCCTCTCACCCCCAGGGAATTATTGCAAGAAATGGAAACCTGACGGAGCAGAGTCGTCCGCTGCTCCGCGGTCGCAGGTGGAAGGTGAGGGTCAGGGGAGGCCAGGCGGCCGCTGCGTTCCCGGGATGGCTGGGATGCATTCTTGGAGACAGGGTCGACTGCTCGGCGAGCTTCAAGTTAAGGCTCGAGGCCCTGGCCTGGCCCGCCTGCACCTGAGCCCCACGACCAGAGAAGGCGAGAAAAGCAGATCGTCCTCTGCTGAGGCCCGCCGTCCCGGTGCGAGCAGACCGCGGTGGCTGTGGCTGGGCCAAGGAGGTGCTTCCGAACACGGATTTGCTGCTTGAGGTCTGCAAAGTGACCACTCCGGTGGCTCTTCTCGCGCTGTCCCCGGCCTGGCCCCTGGGTGAAAAGAACTGGGCGTCCCCTTTCTGGAGCCGTCTCCCATAACACTCAGAAAACGCGAAACCTCACGAACGAGGGCGCGGCTTTCAGACCCGCGTCCCAAGAGACAGATGGTGGGTGAGCGGGAGGGTCCTGGAGGCCAGGGAGCTTGTTCTCGGAGAACCTATTTGTTGGGCAAAACCCACCCACCCTCCACTCGGATCCAAGTTGCCTGAGAACTGAAACGACATCCCAGGATGAATTGGAGGGGGTTCAACTGAGTTACACATCGGGAAGTGGGGCTGGAGATTTTCCCAAGCCCCAAGGCCCCTCGGACGCCTTCTTCGGCTCTCGCGTGGGCTGAGGTGGTTGGAGCGGTCGCCAGACTCAGCTACAGGGCAGAGACGCGAGGAGAAGCTTGTGGCAAGGGGCGGATGAGGGGTGGGGGGGAGGCCTAGATCGCCCAGCAAAGGCTCCAGTCCGCTTTTTGCCTCCGACTGCTGGCTCCTTCCCCACCCGCCGTCCCTCGCCCCGCCCCGCCCCGCCCCCCACCTTGGGGCAGGTGAGCGGCGGCCAATGGGCGAGCGCGGGGCAGGTGCCGGCTAACTCGCGCCTCGCAGAGCAGCGGCCGAGGCTGAGCTGGGCAGTGCTGGGAAGACCAGGGGCGGGCGTCGGTCCTGGCTGGACTCGGGAGGGAGGGGGCCGGGCTCAGCCCCCAGGCCGTAGAGGCAGCTCGTAGCCTCGCACGGAACCCGCGCCAGTGCCTGCGCCGGGAGCTGCCCGCTCGGCCCCAGAGGCCGGCGCGCCTAGCTGCGCGCCGTGGCCCGACTCCGCGTTCGCTCGCTCGCACGCCCCTCGCCTCACAGCGCCTGGCTCGCCGGCCGGGTCTGAGCGCGGGCGGGCGGGCGGGGGAGGTGAGGGGTGCTGGTGTGTGTGCATGTGCCTGGCTGGGTGCACACCCCGCACGGCGGCGGCGCCAGGACGCGGAGCGCTCCCCAGAGCCCAGCTGCCTCGCTCGGCTCTGGCGACCGCGACCATGTTCCAGCCCACAGCCAAACGCGGCTTTACCATCGAGTCCTTGGTAGCCAAGGACGGCGGCACCGGCGGGGGCACTGGCGGCGGGGGCGCCGGCTCCCATCCCCTGGCGGCGGCCGCCTCGGAGGAGCCACTCCGGCCCACGGCGCTCAATTACCCTCACCCCGGCGCGGCCGAGGCGGCCTTCGTGAGCGGCTTCCCCGCTGCCGCCGCCGCCGCCGCCGCCGCGGGCGCCGGCCGCTCGCTCTACGGTGGGCCCGAGCTTGTGTTCCCCGAGGCCATGAACCACCCCGCGCTGACCGTGCACCCGGCGCACCAGCTGGGCGCCTCCCCGCTGCAGCCCCCGCACTCCTTCTTCGGCGCCCAGCACCGGGACCCTCTGCACTTCTACCCCTGGGTCCTGCGGAACCGCTTCTTCGGCCACCGCTTCCAGGGTGAGTGCCCATGCTGTGCCCGCTTAGGCGGCCGGCCAGCGCCCACGCTGCGGTTGCGCGGGGGAGGCTCGGGGGCGCGCGGGGCTGTTCAGAAGTTGTTGAAAGAAGGCTGTGGGTCGGCAGAGGCCGATTCCCGAATGTGGAAGAGCCGCGGCGGATCCATTCGCGCTACCGCGGTGTTGGGTTCCCTTCCAGAGAGCCAGGTTGGGACCTCCAGGCTTTCCCAGAAACGGTGCCGGTCCGGACGCCAAGCCCGGGCGCATCCTTGGAGCCTCTCCTGATCCTCCCCGCGGCCTGCCAGAATCCCTCCCGGCCGAGCCAGTCGCAGTGCAGTGAGCGCAGCGCTCACGGTTCTCCCTCCGCCCCAGCTGGACCTGGGACCATACTTCGCTTACACATCCACCACCAACTCCCAGATATCCGCCCTCGCTGGCGCGTCGGAGCAGGGCAAAGTCTACCCGCGTGTCCCGGGTCTGTGGAAAGAAGGGGCAGCAGGGAGGGCAAACTGGAGAGTTAATGTTCAGTGTGGAGTGTTCCACTGTCTTGGGGTGTTTCTCAGCAACCTCGACCCGACTTCTCCAAGTTACAAGTGCCTCTCAGACGCAGGGTCGGGAAGGTTTGCAACAGCAACCGGCTTCGTCCGCCCTGCGCGGACTCTGGGAGCCCGCCCGGCTGCTGGGGGACCGACGGCAGTCCTCCCAGGCAGGGGGCGGGGGCAGAGGACTTTTAAGGTCATAGGCAGGCTGTTCTCCCATCTCTGCACTGGGCAGTGGGTTTGCTAATGAAGATACCCCACTGGCCTTACACACGCACACACACGTTTCAATTATCTGACTTTTCCGAAGGAAATAGAGTTGCATTTGTTGGAGTTCGTTTTCTTCCTTGAATTTGTTAAAGTTTGTTTCTCTTTTCTTGTCTTTTTTTTTTTTTTTAAGAATGGCCTTAATTTGTGAAGTAATTGCTTTAGTTTCCAGTTTTATTTTGTTAGTGTGGACGGGACTGGACCTCAGCCTTGTGAGGTTCTATGACTCAGAGCTAGGTAACCCGGCTTTTAGTGAAACAAATGAAAAGGATATGGCTAGAGAGAGCTTCGGCTACCAACCTAATCTGACGATAAACCGCGGTCTACACAAAGTAAACCAGATGCTTGGTGCCATTATTTAGGTAACAGAAGAAAAATGATCTTTTGAAGCTTTGACTATAGGTGCTTCACTGTTTCACCGAGAGCCGCTTTCCCGGTCCTGCTTTGTCAATTTGCTTAGTCCCATCTGACCAGTAGATATTGACCCAGCAGATCCCACAAAATAAAAGAATGTAATTACTTGAACAAGAATTTTTGTGGGCAGACTTGTCCCCCTGGGATTTCAAAGATTTGCCCAAAAAAAATTGGGGGAAAAAAAAAAAAAAAAAAAAAGCCTATGGTGTCAGCCGCTTTGGGCATGAAACTTGTCAATTACAATCATTGTTTACTGCTATAAATGAAGTTTTATTCAAAACTGAGTAAACCACTTCGGTACTCCGTGGGGCCTGGCCTGGGTCTCAAAACCTGGCACCCATGGGCCGATCTGAGAGACGCGGCTGCTCTTGAACCGTCGGAACGGGGCACAAGGGGCCCGTGGTTAGAAGGATGGTGCAGAGACAGGGACTCAGAGGAGAGGGCAGAACCGATCCTAAGCCCTGTGGTCTCTGTTCATCCGATGGTCTCTGCAGCTGTGCCCTTGGCTTCGGACCCGGGGCCCCACACCCTCCGCTCTGCCTTTCCCGCCTCTAGCCTCGTCCCCGCGGGCGCGGCGCGCTGAGGGCCGGGGGCACCTCGCGACAGATCCAGCTCTGAGCATTCCCAGCCAAGCGAGGCCAGATGAATTCTCCGAAAAACCTTCTCAGAAATTGCCGCCGCTCCCTGAGCCATCAGTCCCGGCGGGCACGTTGTCGAGTTGCAAAAACGGTTGGATTTTTCTCTCAAGAACCGTGTCTGGACGCGGAGATGGAGCCATGCGTGGCCGAATTTTTGAACTCGGAAATCCGTTGGACACTGAAGGACTTTTCGGACGCTGACACGTTTCGGCTTTGGGTCCGGTCTTCATCGCTGCAGCCCGGTGCGCGCCCCGGCGGCTGTGAGCCTTGCGGTCCCAACGGGGCCTTGGGGCTGCGGGCAGAGCCGTCCCAGGCCCTCCGGCGCCGCGTTTTCTAGAGAACCGGGTCTCTGCGATGCTCATTTCAGCCCCGTTTTAATGCAAGAAACGAAACCCTACACGAACGAAAAGGAACATGTCTGCACTCGGTGCGCAGCGCTCTCGGGCAGCACGGGCCCGCGCGCAGGCAAGCAGCTTTTCCGGCAGAGCCAGGAGGTGGAAGAGGCAGAGCCCACGCGGGATGTCTGGATCAGGCGTCAGGATCCTGAAGCCGGTGGCCTTCGAGGCCTAAAGGGGAGGAGCCGGCGGAGACGCGGAGTTGGCCGCACTTCGGTGTTATTACCCGGACTCAGGAACTTTCCAGGCCAAGAACAGCGTCAGGAGGGGGCCTGGGAAGCCCCAACCCACTGGGACCGGCGTTTGCAATGGGCCGGTGCATCAAAGGGCGCCTTTGTTCCGGCAGGAGGAGGGGGAATGGGGTTATCTCCGCAGTTTGGCCGGCCTCTCCTTCTTGTTGCCCCGGGCTCCTCCGCCCAGCCAGCCACCCAGAACCCCGGGCCGGCCCGGAGCTCTCCGGAAGAGAGTGCAGCGTCTGCCTGGGCACTTCGGATCCCTAGCTCCCACCTTCAGCCACCTCACTCCTGGGAGTCTCTATTGCCAGTCATTGCCTTGGAGGGGTCTGAAGTGAGAGGCCGGAGCAAAATGGGCTGGGGTTCAGTTCCTCCTGGCTCCAAGGAAGGCTAACTCAGCCCCTCTCCACTTTTCCACCTATCCTTGTCTGAAACTGACAGCCCACTCCCACAGGCCAGAACTACTGCATGGAAACAGGCCACACTGCACCCCAGCCCCAAGCTTGTTCTGTTCTTGTGGTCCAGTTAGGGGGAACTGAAGCTGTGGTTGGGACTGTTGAGGCCCCCTACCCATAATGAGACGGTACCAGGCACATAGGCACCTAAGGCATCACTGTCCTTACAGAAACATAGAGCTATTGATCAGTTTCTCAGGATGGTTAGTTTTGCACTAAACCACCTCTTTCTTATAGGGAAAGGCCTGGCTTCTTTTGAAATCCAATCTGTCATCACTTTTCAGCATCTTGAGTAATTTTCCTGCCCCTTGCTTCTTCGAGGTTGGGTCAGAAGGACCCCCGTGCTTCTGCACATACAGAATACTATACATATGCTATCTGCCCCCAACAGAACATTACAATAAACCAAGCAACCCAGCTTTTCCTAAAATAGCCAGACTTGAGGCAAAGGGACATGCGTATGTCAGGAGAGAGAAGCTTGTTGCTTCCGTCTTCCACTTTGGGTTTATAAAGACAAAGACAGAGAACTTCACCGCACAAGTGACCCACACACACTCCCAGAATTACAAAACAGCCATCAAGTCATACACACTGAGGCAGACTGTAGTTCTGCTTTCTCAGCCACAGACTGCCCTAGGCACCCCTGCACCCCATTCGCTCCCACCTACAGGGTCTCTCCAGGCTGCCGCGTCACTTTTCACTAGCCTGGGTCAGTTGAGCTGCTGAGGCCAAACCCTGTGAACTCTGGGATGATCAAGGCCTTTTCCCTCTCCAGATCACTTGTCCAGAGGAAAAACCACTGTTGGGACTTCACCCAGGCTCAGAACAATGCTGTGTTTTGAAGCAACTTAATATCAACAAGAAGTATTTGCTTCCCACTCACCTCTCCCACCTTTCCCTGGCCTAATCACACTGGTACCCACTTAAGACTTTAATTCTTATTTCTACTTGGATCAGTCTCCTCCTTTCTCTCCTCATTATTCCTCTCTTCCAGACCATCTCCCCTGATCATCTGTCCCCTCCACCACTACCAGTTAAACTGCCTTCCGTCAGGCCTAACAGCCCTCCTCGGCCTGCTGCCACCTTGAAGGGCCCACTGGGCAGGCTGTCCCCCTCCATCCCCCCTATGATGTGATCCCACTCCCTTTTGTAGCTGCACAGATCCAGCCACTTGAAATGGATAAGTGATTGTCAGGGGACTTTATCTCCCCTCTAGCAATCTTGTTCCACAGAAAAACCTCAGCAATAAAGTTCACCTGTGTAGGTGTCCAAACTCCAAGGACCCAAGTCCTCCAAAGAAAGTAATGCCAATCAGTATCCGCCAGCAGAGGGACATGAACAGTTACCTGGAGAGTTTTAGCAACAACATCTCAATTATATGACCTTACTTCACTTACAGAAGTGTTTCCAGAGATGGGAGATCTCAACGGAGATCCAAACAATTATCTTAAACAAAACAACAGGTCAAATTGGGTAAAACCAGTGGCCATTTCTGAAGAAATTAATTGGATCAGTCAAATCTCAACAGCTAACTGTGTGAAAACATTCCATCTAGGGCTCTGCATTGTCAGTGGGTCAGGGGGACTGTTATGTGCCACTGCATGAGATCCATGGGTGGTGTAAGGGCCTGTTTCAAGCCTGTTAGCATGTGCAACCAAGCCAGAGATTGTGTGAAGGCCTAGTGGGGGGTTTATTGAGACTGAAGCTGTGGGTGGAAGCTTATTTTGGCTTCTGTAGTTCCTGACCTAACCACCCGGCCTCATTGAACCCAGTGTCAGCCCCTCCTCCTGCAGGTAGGAGCTGAGTTCCCATGATGGCCAACATTTGCCAAGGGACAATCACACTCTTTGAAAATCCTGTATGGTAGATGGGAGAAAAAGACAGTAGGGAGGCTGGAGCATATATTTACACACGCCCATGCAGAAACCAATATATCTATATCTATATATATTAGAGAGAAAGATGACATCTAGATATTTATACACGTGTTTCTTCAGCACGGGACTATTCAGGGATGAAGCAAGGCCTTTTCCCACGGAGAGCAGTAGGAGTCTCCTGTGGGGAGTGGGCTTTACCAGAAGGCCTGGGGGAAAGAGGTGGGGAAGGGGGAGGAAGAAGCCTGACCTTAGACCTTCAGGAGTTGCTTGGACGTTGACCTAGCTGCTGGCCTATTTTTACCACTTGCAAGGTAGAGCCTGAGCCTGTTGGCAAGAATTTTCAAAGGGCTAGCAGCCTAATCATTTAGCTGCAAGGCTGGTTTAAACAGGTGTGAAAAGAGAGTGCCTTGGGTACCTACCTTCTAGTTCTTGAAAATGTGTTCGGCATGAGGGTGTCACTTTCCTGACATCCAGCCCTGTCTCTACTCTTGGCCTTTCTGAGGGAAATAGGACAGGGCAAAGTGGACAAAGAGAGCTAAGGGACTTTTCCCACCCCATGGCCTCTTCTGCTGCTCCAGGCGCTGTGGATTTGGGCCGGCTGGCGCCTCACTAGGCCTGGGCCCTCCTCCTGGCCCAACGGAGTGATCCGCAGCTCTGCTATTCCACCCCTCCCGCGACTGACAGGGTAGCACTCTGACCCTAACTCTCCCCCCTAGGTGTCGGGGGAGGACAGGGGATTGGACTTTAGGAAGGGGCGGCGAGAGGGAAAGGGAGAAGTGGGGGCGGGGAGTCAAGGATTGGAGAGGGTAGAGAAGCGCCGAGGGCGTTTGCTAGCCGGGCCAGAGGGCCGGGGTTGGCCGGCTCCCGCGGGCGGCCCGGCGGCGGCCCGGCTGCGGCTCACGGCGCCCCTTCTCTCTGTCTGTACCTGCTGTGTTGCCGTCGGCGGCGCGGCCGCAGCGAGCGACGTGCCCCAGGACGGGCTGCTTCTGCACGGCCCCTTCGCTCGCAAGCCCAAGCGGATCCGCACGGCCTTCTCGCCCTCGCAGCTCCTGCGGCTGGAGCGCGCCTTCGAGAAGAACCACTACGTGGTGGGCGCCGAGCGGAAGCAGCTGGCCGGCAGCCTCAGCCTCTCCGAGACGCAGGTAATAACCACCCCGCGGGCCTCCGCGCTCGGCCGGTCAGCCCAGGTGGAGGGGGGGGGAGGACGGGCAGGTGCAGGAGGAGCCCGACTCTCATCCCCGCCTTCTCCGGAGCTCTGTCCCACCCAGTTCCAAAAGCCACCACGGCCTCTACCCCGCGGCCCTCCAGCTAAACCAGTCTTTAGAGCCCCTTCCCTCCCGCTGCGCTTAGCCTCGCGGAGGCCTCAGGACTTCTGTCAAGCACTAAGTACCACCAGGAGGTTGGAATCAAACCACTTCCCCAGTCTGCTCTGCAAGCCCATAGGAGGTGCCAGTTTATCAGGAGGAGGCAGGGCGTGGAGCCCCACGCCCCAGTCACTCCTGAGCTGCCCCGGAGTCCACTGGAGCCGTCTCAGTCCTGTGGTTACTGCAGCCCTTCTCCCGCCACTCTTCCGGGGGTGCTCGCAGTTTTGTGGGATGGCCAGACCTTTCCCACACTGGCTTTGCTGCTTGGGCTTTTCATGGGCAGAGCTGGCGAAGGCGGATGGGGTGTGTGGAGAAAGCCCACGTGTCCTCAGCCTGTAAACATCAGAAGCAAAGGAGATTAGCCAGGAAGGGGCCCGACCCTGCTTGGGGTCCCAGGGTGGCACTGATCTCTGCGCAGACAGGGCTCTCAAAACTGGTAAACGTTTGGGCGCGCAGACAGGGGATGGTGCGAAAGTAGAGTCTGGGAGTCAGGGACTGTGTTCAAACACTGGAAGGGCCGTTGAGCTGGGGAAAGGAACAAACTCCATGGTGTTGGAGGGGTTTTGAACTGGGTGACATTACAGGAGTGTTTTTGTAATGGATAATTAAGAAAAGAAAAATTTTAAGAACTAGATTGGAGTTATAGGGAGGCAGACTTGGGTTTGTTATGTGTAAAGACTTCGCCATAAATAAATGCTGCCTGGAAGCACCGCCCAAGCTCTTGGTCCCTGGGAGTAAGACTTGCTGGAGGGGCTGGCTGGTGCCCTGGAGGCGGATTTCAGGGTCTGAATGGGCCTCGGGAGACCTTACTCCCTTATGTCCCTGACAGCTCCCAGATCTGCAAATGAGAGAGGTATGCTTGCCCGCTTTTTATCCTCCTCTCCCCTTTCCTGCTGGTCTGGCCCCTACTACACCACCGTCAGCATCCCGGATACACCACCCTGGTCCCGGGTCTTGAGGGGGCAGCCTGGGGTCTCCTTGGAGCAGTGAAGATAGGAAGGGGGCTCAGACCCTAACTGCCTCCCAGTTCCCCTGACGGACATCACCCGCCGGTCCTCGCGTCCCATTTTGGCATCTATTGTCTCATCTGTCTGATGCCCCCATTTAATCAATGCATTACTCTGGACTCCACTGCAAGACCCACGCTTTTTCAGATTTGCTAGCTGGGCTGTTCTAACAGCAGAGATAAAGCTTATGATAGAGTTAATTTTTAAAATGTTTTAAAGAAAGATGTTAAAAAAAACAAGTTAAAAAAAATAATACCCCCGTTCCCTCCTGGGAGTGTTTTAAAATTATTGTCTAAAACAAGGTGTCAATTTAAGAATGGTGTTTATAGTTAACATCATTTAAAAAGTATTAGTTATTAATTTTAATTGCATAAGTGTAAGAAAACAAAATGGTTTATAATCCTCCCACCCACAGATTAACACTTGTTGAAATAATGTCATTGCTTTTAAACTTTCAATTTTTTAGCTCAGTGAGAGGATTTTTAATTAACTTTCTTTCACACCAAATCTAGCTGCCTATTTGCTCCTAACAATGCCAGTTAGTAAATGTAATGATTGTTTCTTTCATTTTCATTATGTTCCAAACACATTTAAAACAAAACCCAGATAGACTAATATATCCAGCATCACTATCAAAACTCTTGTGTGTACTCATATTCTATCTATAAGTGAGCTGGTTTTAGCATATGGAACAAGAAACCACAATAGAACTATGGGAGGTTTGAGCCTGAGAAACCTCCTTAGGCTCATCTATTCAGGTGAGGATTCTGGGAAAGAGACACCAACTGGGCAGAGCTCCCTAGGCAGGCAGTTTGGATTTCATTATCTGTGTGACCCTGGGTGAGTTACTCAACTTCTCTGAGCTGTGATGTTCTCATCCAGAAGATAGATTGTTTAAAGATTAAAGTCACCTAATATGAACTCAAATAATATTAATTCTCATCCCCAGTCCTTCCCTTCCCTTTGTTTAAAGTAGTGGATCAGGTTGGTGTTACAGTAAGCCCCAAACCTGGGTTTCCTGACTTAGTCCAGTGTTTCTTCTGCCCCATCCAGTCTCCTTCATCATCAGAGCTTTCTGTCCCTCTGGTACTTATTATTTGGACTTCTGCCATATATTTAATTAATTGTCCATCTTTCAGTATTTATCAGGCAAACTTACCTGTCATTTCCAGCTATCAGCTGTTCATCAAGCGACAGTCTCATCAGTTCCCTGCCATCTATTTCTACTGTCAGTACCTACATTCGTCTCTCAGGGCTCTCCAATCCATCACAGATAGCTGTTTTATATCTAGCCACGCACTTCTGTCTGCTCTCATTAAACTGCCTCTCCATAGCTAGTTAATTTATATATTCTAGTAATTATAATCTTCCTAATAATAGCTCTCATTTACCCAACTGTTGATTATTTCCTTATCATCTGTTCTATCTTCTGTGTATCTACCATCCATCTCAAGCTTCCATCTCTGCAGGTCTAGTTAGCTACTGACAGATGCATGTTCAAATATCTGCTAGTGCTTACCTGTCATGTCATCACCTCTGCCTTTGTCTTCATTCTGGGCCTCAGTCTGCTGTATCTGTAAGATTTGATGAAATCAACTCCGTGGTTCTTTCCAGCCCTGAGTTTCTGGCTCATCTATATTCTACTTCTCTGTGTTTCTATATAATGCTTCCTGCAAGTTCTCAGAGCTCACAGTACATCTCCCATATATCATAATACACATAGGACTTTGCTGTGGTTTAATTATCTATCATGTCCAAATGTCACTCTGTGGACTGGCTAGATCTATTGCACCAAGAAATCTTAAAATACAGATTCCCAGGCCCCATTCAGGAGATTCTCTTAGGAGTTCCAGGATGGGATCCAGGAAATGTTTTTAAAACAGCCCTCTGGGTGATTCTGATGAATAACAGGCCACCTCTGGGAGCCAGAGGTCAAGCCTTCTTGTTTCTCTCTATACCGTAGGGTCCAGCTCAATGACCAGCAAGGCATAGAGGCTTCATAAACATGTATCAAATGAATAGGCGAATTTCTCTTGATTGTACTCATATCCATGTGTTCACTTTATCAGTCATTTCCCTTGCTTTCTGCAGTCACTGACCCCTTTCTGTCCCTCTGTTTTCTATCTTTCCCTTGCATTTTAATCTACCTGATCTCACTTTCTCCACCAGTTCACGGATAAAACTTCTGGGAGAGTTAAGGAAATCAACGTGTGGGTCTTAACCCAGCCAGAGCTCAGGGGTGTATGCATGCTCAAAGCTTTAGTATGGAGTGTTGGCAGGTGGGAAACCTGCGCTTCTTTGTTGGGGGCAGGTTTGTGTGTTTGGTTGAGAGAGGGTGTTTGTACTGGGGTGGCAGTGGATCAATCCAGGAAGTGGAGGGAGTGGTCCTGGGAAAAGGGCTAGTTCTCCCCTCTGGCTCTAATTACTTGCTCCTCACTGCTGTGGTGCAGCCTCAGCGTCTGACCTCGATGACTGAATGAGGCCCATTTAAGCTTCAGTCTGGTGGCACAGACCTGGATTTGGGTCAGATCAGAGCTGTGAGGGCAAGTGAGTGAGTGAGTGTGTGTGTGTGTGTGTGTGTGTGTGTGTGTGTGTGTGTGTAACATGTATGTGCCACAGTGTGGAGCACAGATGAGCAGTGAGATGATACCCAAAGGTCAGGTGATATCATATATACACATGGCACAGACAGCAGCTCGGGTGCTTATGTGCATGTGTGGGGTGACACGTTAGTTTTATGGGGAATGAGAGAAAGCATTTGTTTGCTCCAGGCTGATCAATTGGTCCGTGTCTGCTTTGACCAGTTCAGCAGGTGTTTCTTCACCTTTTCCAGCTTTGAGTTCACTTGAGCTATGAGGGAAAGGAGTGTAGAAATGGAGTCTTTAGCCTTGGAGATTCCTCATTTGGTGGTGGGAGCAAAATGTAAAGTGTGCACACTTATGGGATATGCATAGGGTGAGTGACCGGAGTCCCCTTGAAGTCACACCGTGACTGAGGAAGATAAGGGGAGACCTGTATGGGTGGAAGGCTCCCAGGAGACCTCAGGCCCAGAAGAGTCAGTGGGATGCATAGGATTCTAGGTTGGTGGGAAGGAAGGGGAGGGTTTGAAGTGGGTGAGTTAAGATGGAGTGGGAGCTGACAAGTCTGGCCACCATCTTGGGGCCCAAGAACAGGTGGGGAGGTCTTAGAAGGAAGGAGTGTATAGTTACCCACCTATGGGTTTTTCCCCCAGGAGCATGGTAAGGAGACTTCCTGGGGCCCCTTCCTGCTCTGAAAAGCTCTGTTTTGGGGGGGGGGGACAGATGAGAAGGAAATATCCAAATGACTTGAATTTTAGGGAAAGGTCAAGAGGCCTTTGTTGCTAGCTTATTGTTGGTTCTGAGATGGACTCATCCCTTCTTCAAGTCTTGGCTTTTCTCCAAGAATTTCTGCATCATTCATGTTCCAGGAGTCCAGTGGGAGGTGGGACAGGGCAGGGGAGGTAAGGCAGACTGGAGTGGTTCTCCAGGGCCTGGTCCTGCGGAGGCAGATGAATCTTGATGTCTCTCTGAGAGTGAGGGCAAGCATCCAGGATGGTCGGACAGAGGAGGAGACAGGAAAGCTTAGGAAGAGTTAGGGCTATGGTTGATGGGGAGTCAGAGGTGGCTTCAGTTTGGTGGGGTGAGGGCTGAGCTTCATGACATTGGGCTTGACCCTGTGAGTGAGAGTAGCTCATATGATCAAATAGTAGGAAATGGATCCCCAGTGGAAAAGGCTATTATCTCGATAGGGTGTTCAAACTCCTTGAGGACAAGTATTTGTCTGAAAGTATGCAGGCAGGAGCCACAGACTCTTCCATTTGGGAGGGACTAAAGTTGGGGACTAGTAGAAAAGAAGGGTCCAAATCTGGTTCATTCAAATAGGTTATTCGAAAGTAAAATCTGAAACAATTGGCTGGAGCTGTAGTTGGCTTGTGCGTTAGTTCCTTTGTCCATTCATTTGTTCGTTAATACATACACACCTTCATTCATCAATGCATACATACATCAATCAGTCCTTTAATACATTAATGCATGCATGCATTCCTTCATTTATCCACAGCACTCTCTTCGTCCTGTTTGACTCATGCTGACCCTTGTGCCCCCCAACAATAGGTCTTTCTCCCTCCCCCAGATTCTCCCTAGAAGTGGTTAATCCAATTCACAACATGGAGAATTAAGAATTGACCCTCTTGGGGGAGCCTGGCTGGCTCAGTCGGTAGAGCATGCGATTCTAGATTTTGGGGTTCAGTGTAGAGATTACTTAAATAAATAAAACTTTTAAAAATCTTAAAAAAAATTAAAATAAAAAAGTTGACCCTGTTGTAGAAGTGTCCACTGAACTAAACCCATCTTTCCAGCAATTGCACTTCCCAAACCCATTTTCTGATTAGATCTCAATTCCCTCCACCATTGATTTTCTTCAGCTTTCCATTTCTGACCTAGACACCTCTTTCCAAGAGCAGAGTGCAGGTCACTTCACCTCTGCCCAGCTTGCTGAACAGACTGGAACATGCCCACTGGGACTCTAGAGTAGACTTATACACTGCTTTGATTCTCCGGGTTCTCACAGCCTGATGAGGAGACAGAGGTTCAAGCAAATAAATTAACCCACTGCTGGGGTCACTGTTGCTGCGACAGGGAAAAGTACTAAGGAAGTACAGATGGGCAATAGGGCAGGCCCAGCCTAGGAACATCTGAGCAGGAATTTGAAGGCTAAGGAAGAGTACCCCAGGTGGGTAACTCAGGCAAAAGTGGAGAATCTTGGAAAGATCCGGCTTACCTGAAAAAGAGACATTCAATGGGATGGGGACTTTGGAGATGACAGGGAACCTCTCTGCAAACCCAGGAGACTCAGAGATGGGGGAGGGATTCCTTTAGCCAACATCCCAACTGTGTCTTTGAGGGCTCATGTGCAGATGTTCCGGGGAGGCAGGTGCAGAATAGGCACAGCTCCCCCAGAGCTGGTAGCCTTTCTAGGGCCTCTGTCCTCTAGGGAAAGGGCTCCAGAGGCTGGGTTAGAGAGGTTGATGGGATGTCACTCTTGTCTCATACTACACTCAGAGCCCAGTTCTTCTTCTTTTTCTAAGTAAAAAATAACTATTAACTGTTATCAGTAATGCATTAAAGAAAAGTCAGAAAAGTGGAAAGAAGAAAGAAATGTCACCCTCACTTTAGGTACATTTCCTTCTAGTCTTTTTTTCCCCATGCATAGATTTTATTTTCCATGGTTGTGATCACACTGTGCCCAAACTGCATCCTGCCGTTTTCACTGATATTATGAAGTCAGAAGCATCCCCCTGTTATTACAGTCTTTGTAAACAGCATCTGGTCACTCAGCCTAAGGCTGTTCAGAAGATAGCCAGTCTGCCTAGGGAGAGAGTTTGCATCCCTGTTTCTAAAAATCTGCCTCCTTGACCCCAGTCATTTTCATGGAGAAAATATTCTGAATCACCTTTCATTTGGGTGTGCCAGGAAGCTGGCCCTTGCCTGAAAACATATCCTGCACCTGGGGTTCCACCACTGGAAACTTTCTTTCTTTGGGCCAGTGTTGTGAGGCGAGGGTAGCAGGCTGGGTCCATCCATCCTTCCTGGAAGGAGACTTGGGAGTTGTGTGGGAGGGAGAAGGTGCAGGAAGGGCCCTAGGTCCTGGTGTTGCCCAGGGCTTCCCCGGATTGCCCCATCGCTAGGCTGGGCACACTTAACCCTTAGCCAGCCCCTTGGGCTCTCAGGATTGCTGCCCCAACCCCGCATCCAGGCCTGAGTCACACACAAATGCCTGGCACAGGAGCTCACCCACCTACTGGCTGGTGTAGTGTCAGTGGGCTCCACGATAGGGGGTGGGGACCAGGCTGGCTGCCGCGCAGTTCTGCCACGCAGAACCATCCAGGGCCTAGCCAGCCTGGTACCCAAGGAAAGGTGGTTATGGAATCTAGAAGTCTTGCACCCAGAGCATCTACCATTCTCCCTTGTCTACCTAGGGTGAGACATGCAGGCGACAGGTTTGCACCTTACTCTAGAAATGAGGGAAGAAGATCCTCCTCTTACTCCATCCACCAGGCCAGGCACCTCATCTCTTCCTGTCTCTGGCTGGCTGCCCCCACCCCCAACCAGTGCTCTAAAATCAAGGGGTAGGGCAGACCCTGGGAAGGGTGTGCTCTTAGGGGAAGCCTTGGACTGGGTGAGTTCCACGAAGGGGATAGGGGGTAGTGTCTGAGAAGCATGAAGGTAGAATGTCCTGGGCAAGAAACTGCTCCCCACGCCCAGATGCCAGGCCTGCTTGCTTTTGGCTGCCACTGCCTGGCTTTATGGCTAAGACCTGTGCTTCTCAGCCATTCTCAGGGACTAGGGGTTGGACTGGGTAGTCTTCTGAGGACTGCTCCTGGCCCCACCCAGGGTTCCAGGATCTCCCCTCAGCAGTAACTGCTGCTGCCAAAACCAAGGTGCTCACCATCATTCCACACACATGACTTACCAGTCACCACTGTCATGGACACCACAGATCACCCAGCTGCAGGTGACAGCACCTGCTTGCTTTTTAAATGAGCTGTCATTTTCAGGAAACCATCCATGCCTTGTAACCCTGCCATCTCTGCATCACCTCCCCAGGGACCCTCTGGAGCAAAAGCCCAGGAGGTGCCCTGGAGCTGCAGGGGCCCCCGAAAACATCTCTCCTATGGATGAGGGACTTAAGCCCAGAGAAGGGAAGGAACTTAGCAAAGGATCAGCACCCAGACTCACCTTTACCAGCTCTGAGGATGGGGGTGCTGGCCTGGCTCTGTAAGGCCAAGTAAAGAACTGTATGGTCAGGAGGAGCTGACAGACTGAGCGAGACTTTCTCCACAGTCCCCAAGCACTAAGACTAGTCAGGAAGCTGGGACAACCCTCCTAGATCACGCCCACGAAGATGTTAAAGGCTGTATCCTGGACACTGATCACATGCTGGGGGAGGTGGGAGAAGTGAGGGGTGATTAGAGATGGGACTAAGCCTCTTCGCAGAGGCTTTGCATTGCAGACCTGCTCCTCCCTCTAAGCACCCCGCAACCCATCACAGAAGATAATTGTCCACTGTTTGAACCCTCCCCTTGTCAGGACTCTCAATGCCTGACACAGAAGTGGGGAACCCTCTATGTTTAAAGAGGAGCTTGCCTCTGTCCCCTGTGATTTCTCCCATGTGACCTGTTCCCATATTTGGATAGGCTACAGAGGCCAAGGCTTTGGGGGCAGGAAGTTTAGAGCCCTGCCCCAGGTGGGGCTGCAGACACTGCTATGTCTAAGGAGGATGAGGCCTCATTGGTGGATTTCAGACTACCCTGAGGAGTTGCCACATGAGGGACCAGACTTCCCACCTGTCCAGCTCTACTTCTGATGTGGGATGGGGGTAACTCCACCTGACGTTGCTCACAGGGTCCCCTGGAGAGACTGACCTAGACGGTGTGTGAGTCAGAGCCTTTTGAGTGGCGGGGTCCGTGACCCCAGGCATGCTCTGGCTGTTGTGAGCACTGCTCTTGGTGTGGACATCATCTCCTGGTCACGTAGCCATGTCCGCTCTGCCTCTTTGTGCTGCAAAGAGCATAGGGTGGCCCTGGGAGGTGGGGCCCATATCAGGCCCACAGGGAGCTCATCAGGACTCATGCGATGGCTTTTCATATATTCTCCCACTTACTGTTCATCTCTGCCTCGTGAAGGAGCAGTTATTCTCTCTTCTCTAGAAATGGGTAGGGACCCAGGTCTGCTGGGCTCCAGAGCCTGGGTTCCTCCCTTCTGCCATGCTGTGGCTACAGGATGCTCGGCAGCTCCATGATTGCTCCCTTCCCTCTGTGATAGAGGGATGGGAAAATGGCTCCTCGTGACCCACTGTGTCCTCTCCCTGCCCCACCTCATTCGCATCTGGAAGAGTAGTCTTCTGGACCCAGCAGGTGGCACCTGGCCAGAGGAGAGGACCCTGGTCTTGGTTTCCCCAACTGGCTCCCAGCTCAGCCTGGGTGCTGAGGCCCCAGTACCTGTTCTGGGGGCCTCCTGGGTGTTTCTTACCTCTGCCCCTCCCTCCCTGGCCCAGGTGAAGGTGTGGTTCCAGAACCGGAGGACAAAGTACAAGCGGCAGAAGCTGGAGGAAGAGGGGCCTGAGTCTGAGCAGAAGAAGAAGGGCTCCCACCACATCAACCGGTGGCGCATCGCCACGAAGCAGGCCAACGGGGAGGACATCGATGTCACCTCCAATGACTAGGGGGGGCAGCCACGGATCCATGAGGGCAGAGCGTCTGCTCGCTGCTGGCCAGGCCCCCGGGTGGGCCCAGCTGGACTCTGGCCGCTCCCCCGCCAGGCTTCGGGGAGGCCTCGAGTCACGGCCTCACAGGGCTTGGAGCCTGGGGCTACCACTGCCAGAGGGACAAGAAATGGGCTGGCTGAGGCCTGGGACTGCTCAACCTTCTCCTCGGAGAGCCTGCCTGCCTGGGCGGGCCACCAGCCACTGCAGCCTCCCAGCCATTCTCCATTTCTCTTATCTCCTGTTTGTTTTGATGCGTTTCTGTTTTAATTTATTTTCCAGGCACCCGCTGTAGTTCTTAGTGATCCCCTTGTATCTCCCTTCCCTATGGGAATAATAAAAGTCTCTCTCTTAATGACATGGGCATCCAGCTCCAACCCCAGAGCCTTCGAGCCTGGGTGGCGGATACCGGCTCTGGGGACCAGTGGGGACCAGCAGAGCAAGCTTGTGCAGTGCCTTGGTGGTCTCTACCCTGGTCTCTAGCTCCCAACTGTACAGCAAGAGAAATGGAGGCCAGACATAGGGAAGGACCACTCTGTGTCTTAAGGGAGGCTATGCTTGGGAGTTTCCAAGTTTGTTGAGCGGTGGGAAACAGGCCCATGTGGGTTGTTGGAGAGAGAGAACACGCATACTTCTGCATGCTGAGAGACTGGTGGCTCCTCCAGTTGAGGAGACACTCGAGGAAAAAGGGAGACTTGGGAGCTGAGGGGCGGGGCACCATTCACAGAAGTTGACCATGCTAGCCCCGGGTCCTAGCTTCACCAGGATGCGCACCCGTCCCCGGAGAACTCCTCTGTGTAGATGAAAACTTTCGAGATGGGGCATAAGGCTGAGCCTGTAACCTGTCCCCACGGACACAGGGCCTCCAGCCAGGAGACAGCAAGGAAGGACCCAATAGAGCTCTGTAGTTCACCTGCTCTTCTGCTCATCGACTTGCCTTTCCTACTGTCACACATCAACGTGTCCTTCATCCTTAAAAGCAAGACCTGTATTCCTAACACCTTTCTCTTACAACGTCCAGACCTGTCTCCACTTCTTCACCTCCCGTGAGCTCTCTAACCCAATGCTGATGCTGATGCCATCACCAGTCCCCAGTCACTGCCACCCCTTGGGGCCAAACTCAGCTGCCTCCTGTCTGGCCTCATCTACGCCCTGATCTTCCGGCCATTCCCTCCTTGATTCTCGTACCCCTCCCTGCCTTATTCCAGTACCTCTGACACTTTTACCTCCTGCTTCTCCAAGCCCTCCCCAGTCTCATCCGTGCCTCATCGCCCCTGTCCTCTGCAGGGTCATTCCTTGTTCCACCTGCCTCTTGATTGTGCCCTCTGCCTGGGGCTTCGCATCCATGTCTGGGACTTCTCCTGGCTCCCTGGAATCTCTCCAGCCAACCTCTGCCAAGCTGCAGAGCCACCTAGCCGGCTGCTCGCGTCTGCTGCACTCCAGCCCCCTTGGCACCTTGAACCCAACACATTCACAGCTGACTCATCTCCCCACCTGTTCTCTTCCAGGCTTGCCCACCTTGACAAACGGCCAAGGTTTCTTCTACCTTGGGAAGCAGTGTACATGGCTCCTGGGGGTGTTGGGAGGAGAGGGAAGGGATGGTAGACATAATGAGGTTTATGTGGATTGCCAAGGATGAGGCCGCTTCAAAGGAGGACCTCCATGCTGTGGCTAGGGTTCTCTTCCTTGAGCCCAGACAGGACTGTGTCACATCCTTCCTAAGCCCCCTCCCCTGCCCCACTTCCTTCCCCGGCTTGACCTCTCCTACCTCGCTCCTGGTGCCCTTGGCTTCAGTCTCATCCATGTCACCCCTGTCCCCCAGTGAGCCATGGGTTTTGCCTGTGCTGTGCCTTTACTTATGCTTCTCTAGGCTCCTGGAATGTGTTGGGGGCTTGATTAATGTTGAAGTCAATGTTGAAGACTTGCTGCCTGGGGCCCATGCAGGGATCCAAGCACAGAAGGTCCTTTTGCTGAGGCTGTCAGCATCTCACTTGGGTCCAGTCAATGCTAGAAACCAAAGGGCTTTCTCCCATCTCAGTGCCCCTCTGCACCCCATCGGCCAGGAAACACATTCCTGGCATCTTGAAAGTCCTCACCTTGGGGTGGACACTCTCACTGCCAAGCAGGTGGATAACCTCTGGGGAGCATGTCCACACAGGTGGGGTGAGGGTGAGAAGGGGAGGCATTCTTTTGGCACCAGTGGGGGCAGGGGAATGGGCGAGCTGTTCCTCTCCAGATTCTGTCGCTTGGTGGGGGAGGAGGTACACGAGGATCACAGCAGAGCAGCCCCTGTCATCCAGATAAAGGGCTGGAAAGGACCCAAGGAAACCTGCCAATCTTCCTAGGCCAGGCCTGCAAGGGGCGGGCTGGGAGTCCCCACTGCACTCCCACCCACCCCCCCGTGTTGTGCCTCTCCCTGCAGACGGTAAATATTGGTGTTGTGACTTCATTAATAAAGGCTTCTGTGAGCCTGAAAAACATGGAATCAGGATGAACTATTTTCTGAGCTGCCGGCTTGCCAGGTTTGCTAATTTGGGAGTTTTTGGGCCCTCTCCAGGGAACAAACCAAAGTTTCTCTCGAAGAGACACAGATGCAGCCGGGAAGGGGAGAAGAAGCCGAGGAATGATGCTCCCGGCCCTCCCTCGACTGCTCCTTCCTCTTGGAGATCAGGGCCCTGCAGGGGTGAGGACAGGTGGACAGGGGCTGCTTGGCCAGGCTTTCCACGAGAGAGCCTGGCTATGTCACATCGCCTCAGCTGGGCTGGTCTCCCAGGCCCTGCAGAGTCAGATGGGCTGAGGTACTGATGACGCCCGTAAGAACCCCATGTTGTATGTGACTTAAGCAGCGGGAACGCAGGTTCTTCGCTCTTGTGGCCCAAGCCACGCGCCTCAGCTTGGGGGAATGATCTTTACACTCCACCGGTCCGCGGAACTTTCCAAGATTAGTCCCCACGGCTCCGCAGCGGCATGGCTGGTGCTCTCAGCATCTCTGCACTTGGTTGTCACCAGCTCCTCCTCATGGGTGCTGTGACTGCTTCCCGTGGGACTACGTGGAACCCTCACCTCGTCAACTGGGTTCTGCCCAGGAGGGAGCCAGGCGGCACCCCCACCCCACCCCCCCACAGGCCTCTCCTGGAGCCCCTGCTCTCGGGCAGCCCCGTAGGGGGAGGGGCGGGGAGGCCAGCAGGCTGAGTGGTGCAGGCCCAGCCAGCTTTCCTGTCAGACAGGCGCTGCCAATGCGGAGCCAGACATCGGGAACAGGTTTAACCAATTACCCGAGCGCCCCATCTGCTGTCTGGGGTGTGTGTGAGGGTGAGTGCATGTGAGGGTGTCTGGGAGTGTCTGGGAGGGCTGTGGGCGTGTGTGCGCGAGTGTGACTGTGTGGGTGTGTGTGGGCGTGCGGCTGTGCACGTGGGCGGGGTTGCTGCCTGTCCCAGTCGTACCCCCTCAGTTGTCAGACTGTGGTTACCAGCTCATGGTCTTCCTGTCTCCCCGAGACCTGGGGGTCTCCATGAACAACCCACCCGGCACCCCAGGCCCTCATTTCCTACTCCCCTCATCACCACTCACTCTCAGGGCTTATGAGAGGCCACAGTCACGTGACCCCTTCTTTCAAACCGCACCTTCAGATGTCCTTCCCTATCAAACCACACGTTCTTGCCGCTCACTCGTTCAGTCGTCGCCTATGTCCATGCTTTGGCCTCATAACGCGCTCCTGGCCACGGGCCCCTCTGTTGTCTCTCTGACATCCCCTGGTCCCACTGCTCCTTGTTGCACCTGCCTGGCACCTGCAAACTTGCCTGAACCTGTTTCCCCACCTGCCCTTGCAGCCGCGTCTGTGAGGACATCCCGCAAGTGTGCTGGATGGCACCCCTTGAAGTCCAAGGTCCCAGCCTCAGCTGAGGCCTCACTCCTGTTGATAAATCCACTCCCATTCTCCACAGGGGATGTCTCAAACAGTCTCCCTTCTGCCCAAACCTCTTCTGCTTACCCTCAACAGAGGACCTTATTTCCATCTCCAGAAAGAAATGAGAAGCACTGCAAGGGAACACCTTCATATCAACCAGGGGCCAGGAAAAAAGAGGTAGTCCCTTCAAATGGGGCAGTCTGAGGAGAGTTGGATAAAGGAACAATTCACGAATTTTAGACACCTGACAAGAGATGTTGTAGCGCCACAAGGCTAATGACGATGGCCCACAGCCCTGGGGCCCGAAGAGGCAGGGGCAGGAGCAGTTACCAGAACTCAAGAGGACAGATGAATGGAGATAGCCCCAGATAGGAGCCGCAGCCTTCGTGAGTGGGAGGCCCAATGATGCAGGGGAGGCCCGCGGAATCGACCCCCCAGTGTCACCCTCCTCGAATCCTCAGTTTCCCACTGGAGACTCCCAAACTTGCCCAATGGCAAGTCCATACAAGTAGGCCTCCCAGAGAGCGGATAGAGAATGGTGCAAAGTATACCTGGAGGGGCCAGGCAAGCTAGTCTCTCACCCTTCAACCTCCCTCCCTCAGATCCACACTACCTGCATCCAACCCATCCTCTCCACCTGCTTCCTGTTACCCCTGAGACCCTTCTCTCCTCCCGGCCCCCCGCCCCTCCGGAGACCTCACTCCTCTTGCCTGTCTCCCTAGGCCCCTCCCCTCTCACCCATTAATGTCCGCAAGCCCCAGTGTGCCTTCTGAAGCCTTCCCTTCGCCCCCACATTATGCTGCAGCCACTGTCGTGTCTCAATGCCCAGCTCACAACCCAGTCTCTTGGAAATCCTTTGTTTTACAAGTTAATTGTATACTGGCAGCCAGTCGGAGACATACTCACTTCTCAGCCCATGGAGATCTGGCTTTTGACCTGACCACACTCCACTGAGACTATTCTCTCCAGGTCCTTCCAAAGGACGTGCTTGGTCTTCGTCTTCCTTCACCTCCCAGCACCTATTCAGTATGTGCACAGCCTCTCCTACTGGAAGCATTCTCATCTCTTGTCCTCTGGGGTGCCATGCTCTCCTCATCTTCCTCTTACCCCTGGCATTAGTGTGCTCAGGCAGTTTACACAACAGAAGTACATTTTCTCACAGTTCTGGAGGCTGGATGTCTAAGCTCAGAGTACCAGCTCAAAGTGGGTTGGTTTCTTCTGAAGCCTCTGTTCTTGGCTTGAAGATGGCTGGCTTTGTGTTCGTCTGTGTCCAAACTTCCTCTTCTTATAGGCTCACCAGTCGTATTGCATTAGGACCCACCCACCTGAGCTCGTTTTACTTTAATAACCTCCTTAAAGACCCTACCTCTGAATACAGTCGCATTCTGAGGTATGGGGGATCGGGGCTTCAACATGTGAATTTGGGGGGACACAGTTCAGTCCATAACACC